CTCTCTCTCTCTCTCTCTCTCTCTCTCTCTCTCTCTCTCTCTCTCTCCCTCTCCCTCTCCCTCTCCCTCTCCCTCTCTCCCCCCCCTCCTTCTTTCTGTCTTTGTCTCTCTCTTTCTGTCTCTATCTCTCTCCTCCCTCAAAAGCAATTTCTAACCCACATTTATAGTAATTGTAAAACAAAGGAAGGAGAAATTCTACAGCATTTCAAAAAAGTACAAAAATCTCCAGTTCTCAATTTGGGTTTTATAATATTTAACAAAAGCAGAATGAGAGGGTCCTGAGAGTTATAATCAGGAAAAACCTGGTTGTGCTTCATACTTGGGGAACACGTATAGAAATCCCTTTGGGAACATCTGATTGGTGATGCTGGTCCTTCTGGAGACCCAGGCCCGTCGTTCTGACCCTCTTCCCCCTTTCATCCTCAGGAGGCCTCAGACAGGGTAAAGGTCCAGCTGCCCTTGGTGCTTTGAGAGTGTAGCAGGGACCCCCTGCTTACTCTTGAATCTCCATTTGTGCCCCTGCTCCTACCAAGAGCCCTGGAGGTGTTCCAGGCCAGCCCCCTCATCTTCCAAAGGCCCAGGGCCTCTGGTCAGGCTGCCTTGGCAGTCATTGGCAGGACACTTGACTCTAGTTGGTTCCACGTAAAGAGGCAGGTTGGGGTATTTTACTTTAGTAAAGCAGATGCAGTGAAAACAGCAAGTGAAACAACCCTCCTTCTCGTTGTCAACACGATAAACCAAGTGGAGATGGGGCTGAGGCCTTGTCCTGGTGGTGGGAGCAGCCAGTCAAGTGTGTGTTCTAGAAATGGACCTTGTAGTCCCCAGGAAGGCCGTCAGGGGTGAGGGTGGTCCAGTTAAAGACTATCCAAGACTTAAAAGTGGCTTTTTTTCTCCTGGTCAGTGGCCAGCAGCTTGTCGATCCCTTTCACTGTAGCTACGGCCATCGTTGTGAGTTTTGTACTGAGGGTTCCAGGAGAACGCTGCCTTTGGCCTGAAGTAACTCTCATCCAAAGAGGGCGCTTCCTATTCCTCGTCCAGCCCAGCAAATCTTAGCATGTTCCCTGGAACAAATCACTGAAAAGAGCCAAAGTAAAGCTGGCCACAGCGTTGGCCGTGACTGGCGTGTCTGGTGTGCACGGCTGCCTGGCCCCTTGAGCTTCTGGAGCTCGGAGCTTGCTCGTGTCTCGCAGCCAGACTGGCTCTGTTCAGGGGCTGCTTTCTCTCTGCATTTGCTCATCATCTCACTGTCCCTGGGGCACGCTAGCATTGACTCTTGCTTGTCTGCTCCCATCACACTGCCTCGTCTTCCTCACCCATATGTATTGTTTGTGTTCCTTCAACTGATGGCGCTGTCGTGTCTGTGCATGTAGCCCAGGGGACCCAAATGGTGGCCATTTGCAAGGCCCCGCATGGCTGGGATTGAATGCCAACGTCCCTGCCTCATTGCCTGGCTTGCTGCAGGGTCATCAGAGGGGAAACTGTCTAATTTCCAGGCCCAGCCGCCCTTTTTGCTCCGTAAGTCACTGTTCTAATTTGACTTCTTGCTTAAGAATCTGTGATTTCCTGGAGCCTTCTCGTCTTCCTTTCTTTTAGGTGCTCAGATGTGACAGCTAGAACTGACTGTGCTCTGGCACAGTTTGTTAAACATGAAATTCAGCGCCATGATTCAGACTAGATCACGTGGGCAAGCAAAATTCTCCCCACTCAAAATGAACTCTTTATTGCCTTTTCTAAAAAACCACAATCCTTTCCAAGACACTTAGCTTTCCAGGGTTGAAGAGGACAAAAACGGTGAACAGGGTAGGTACTCTCAGGCCACAGAGTCGACTGCTGCTGCTTTCAAGGCATCTCTGTTCCTAGGAGCAGCTCCACTTTCTAAACTTCATCTCTTCTAAGCAGCAGCCAAACAAGTTTGAAAACCCAGAGTGAAGATCAGCTCTGTTAGCTGGCCATTGGGATGAAATGATAGCTTTTAACATCTTCCAGGGAGAAATCCTGCTCTGAATGTAGTTTTACTACGCAGATAAGACAGGGCAGTAAGGTAACTTTGTTCTTGGGCTGAGTCCACAGAAGGGGAGACCCACTGAAGACACGCGTGCGTGAATGTGTTTCTATCACATAGGAGCCGAGAGAGGTTAGTGCAGAATTTGAGGGACCCCCTGCACCCCACAATCTACAGCCCTATGAATCTTGTTGGGGGAGGGGAGAAGAGGGGAGAAAGCTAGTGGGCAAGGATTAAATTCCTTAATTTTCAATTTAACAATCAGTGGTGATATGGATCCAGAAAAACTGGGCCATGAAAGTACCAGGCTTCATGGTGCCCCCCTTATCACCTGCAAATTGCTGCTGGTTTTTTGTTTGTTTGTTTTGAGAAAGTCTTGTCCCCTCTGCAGTTATCTTTTTGTTGTTGTTTTAGGTGCTCAGATATCTTGCCACCTGGGTGGCCAGACTAGAGGGAAAAGGGGTGGGGAGGAATGGAAGGGAGGGAGTGAGGAGGAGGGAAAGATTTATTAAGTGCCCTTGTGTATGCAGAGTCCCGTGCTGTTCAGACAGCCCCTTCTCTCCAAGAGTTCATTTAAAAAAATTTTGAGTTCCCAATTTTTTCCCTCCTCTCTAGAAAGATAAGAATTTTAAATAGGCTGCATATGTGCAGTCACGTGAAACCTATTCAGGAGCTTATTTTCTAATAGGGAAGATTTCAGCTTCAGGTCAGCTCCAGGCACGGAATTTGGGGAACTTACTTTACTGAAACAAACAAAAACAGAGCTCTGTTTCTTTATAAACTGCCCCCAGTCTTGTCAGGGGCTGTTCTCCCCTTCTCACGGAACAGATGTCGGAAGATCCAGAAGAAAGAATGTGCAGCTGCGGCGTTGGCGTTTAGTCCAGGCGAGGTTTCTTCTCCTGGAGGATCTTAGAGTCCTGGGTCAGGAGCCACAAAGGACCTTGGAGTCCAGCCAGCCCTCCAAAGAGGAAAGGGAGGCTCAGCCAGGGTCATACGGGTCGTAAGCGTAATAGCTAGGACTTGAACTCATGTCATCCGGCAGGAGAGCCATTGTGCCATGCAGCCTCCCTTGAGGTTAGACCTTTCTCTTATGCTGGAGGTACTTTTGACTTTTCAGTCAGTCAGCTAGTCCATAAACCTTTGTTAAAGTACCTCCTATGTGCCAGGCCCAGTGCTAAGTGCAGAGGATACAAAAAGAGGCGAAAAATACTCCTTGCCCTTTATAAGTTTACAATCT